AATGCATAAACAGGACTACGAGTAATATTTTCAAGTCGTTTCAATTGACGAAAAGATCGCTGGTAAAAATGAATCATGAACAAAAGGCCTACAAAAAATATCGGTAGTACAAAAATGATCGATGGATTGAGAAAACAAACGATAAACATTGCACCAACTGTTATCAATAGTGCCATAATACCATTCAGCATCAGTACAGGTAATAATTCGTCTATTGCATATTGTTCTTTACTTGCTCTATTAAGAATCCTTCCACTTGGATTACTTTCAAAAAATTCTAACGAGGTATATAGAAGTCCTTTCAACATACTATTATGTAGGCTATTTGAACCATTCAAAATAATCTTATAATAATAGTTTGTACCTAGTATATCCATGACTAATGCACCTATTATTAAACCAAAATAGATATAAGCATATTTTGGTGAAAATTGTCGATCAATTTTAGATTGTTTCAACCATATACTAAGCCAATAGTTTGCACCATCATTGAATATTTCACCTAACAAGAGTAAAACAATCAGTACACACAATCCACAAATACCAGACGGTAATGCAGTAAATAAATCATAATAGAGAGACCAATTGGACCTATCATTTACTGATATTTCATCAGTGATGATCGATTGCTCATCACATTCAGGCGGATTGTCTTCAAGCATTGTAGTTAATACGGATGTTTGTTTTTTGTCAGGTTCATTTTGTCTTGTGAAGTTTTCATCTAACCGATCTTCTTTATCGATTTGTCCATGTGAAAGAAATATGATTTGATCTGCTTCAAAAAGAAATTGAGTTTGATGAGTAAGTAATAGACGTGTTTTATTTTTCAATAGTCCATTTGAACCAATGCATCGTTCATAAATGTGTTCGGCTACTGTACGATCAACAGCTGATAGAGGATCATCAAGCAAATAAATATCGGCATCATCATACAAAGCACGAGCTAATCCAACTCGTGCTTTTTGTCCTCCACTTAAATTGACTCCATTGTCTCCGATTATTGCCAGATCATCACAAGATCCCAATCGACTAAGATCAACATTAAGACAACAGGCATCTATCACATCCCTATATCTTTGTGCATCATATGGTCGATTTAGGAGAATATTATTACGAAATGTATCAGCAAATATCCATGGAGATTGAGCAGCATATGAAAATGAACTATGATATGTATTCACCTGACCTTCGATAAGATTCATTTCACCAAGAATAGCAGCAAGCAAAGACGATTTACCACAACCAACTGGTCCAACAATACCGACCAATGTACCTTTTTCAACCGATAGATTCAATGACGATAGACAAGAAATATCGTTTTGCCAAGAAAACCAAGCATTCGACATGACGATACTGCCTTTTTGTTTCTGATTACTTAACAATGTGTTTGTTGAAGACTGATGTTCTTGTTTCACAGTTAAATGCATGAATGCATGGATTCTTTTTGATGCAAGTTTTGCTTCATTGAACTTTTCGAATGCTAGTGGTACCCAGCACGCAATATTATCTCGCATAAAAGCAAAAGCCATAATAAGTGGAAAAGTATTTGCTATAGTCAATGGATAGCCTAAAAGCCAAGCACTACCAAATGTAGCTAATGAAAGTAGTTGTGTTGAGATAAAATATTGAGTCCTATTGAATGCACGAAAACGAGATGTGTATCGAATACTTTCTAATTCATTTTTACGCATTTGAACTATACGATTTTCCATCGGTTTTTCCCAGTTGTACATTTTAACAGTATGACATCCATAGATAAATTCACTATATGCTTGCATACGTTTATCACTACACACAGCTGCTATTTCACGACACTGACGAAACTTTCGACCGAAATATATTTGTATTAGAATAAATATTGGACACAAAGCATATCCACATAATACTGGTATTGGATGTATAATCCAACAAAGTAAACCAAATAGAATAATTGTCTCAAGAATAGATGCCGTTAGACCAGCTAAATTGGTGTATAGTTCTTCAAATTTGAATGTATCACTGGTGATTAAGTTCAGAATTTGACCTGTATTTATTTTTTCTGAAGATGTCGATTTCAAAGACAATGCACGTATATAAATGATGATATTCAATGCATTACGAATTCGGATACCCACACGATTCGAACAAAACACTGCTTGTCGTTCTGCCATTGATTGTAAAATAATGGATAACAAGAGTAATATAATATATAAATAGAGACGATAAATCGATGTCTGTTTGTCTGTAATACTCCAAATCAGTTGACAAAAAACTAGAACTTGTGTAATATCGGCCATACAGAAGAGAATCCCCATTAAATAAACCGAAATTAAATCTTTCATGAATTCTTTTCTGATAATCATCCATGATGTTGTTGATGACCAATCATAAGATTGTAATCTCTCTAATAGTGTCAAAGTTTTATCAATCAGAGGTGAGTCATCAAGGTCATTTTCTATTAATTGTCGTTTATATCCTGATAAAAGAATTGGTTTAAGCCAAGACCAAAATAGAATATGGAAGAGACGAAACCAAGTTGATTCTGTCCATTCAAGACGAGAAGATGCCCGTCGATTTTGATCATGTATGCTATGAGATGTTTTTTCGTCATCGAGTAATGCTTGTCTTTCGTTACTTTCTTGCTTCATATTCGTTCTTATCATGAGTGTAGCTATAGCTTATCACATGTACATAATATTTTAGTGAGGCTATTGATGCGTAACAAGAATAAGTTTTGTGTGTCTCTCAAATGCGCACAGAGTCGTGCAAATAGAAGAAAAGTAATAGGATCTGTGGATGTTTAAAAAAAAAGCCACTGGATTTTGATTGTGACCCATGTCGTCAATTTTTCATCAAAATCGCCGGTTACCGGTGGTTCATAGGAAAACCGCCGGTTTGAAGCGGTTTCTCTTTTTTTTTATCGATTTTTTAAATAATTTTTCTTCTAAATTAATATTTTTAGTCTTAAAAGAATCGATTACAACTCAAAAAAGTCTAGATAATTATGCAACAGTAAAAGGGGGTGGTCGAAAAATCATGGATTTTCCCCACGCTGGAAATAGTATAAAATGAAAGTACTTGATGAGTATAGAACTGCTCCGATGTCGGTTTCTTTAGATCGCGTCCCTTTTGTGGATAAAAGTTTTTAAGAGAGAGTCCGTCAGAAGGTCACCCTACACTGTAAAAAAAATCCGTAGAATAATAAACCCAAAAAGGGTTGATGAAAGTGTAACGTATAATAAACCCTTTTTGCCGTATGTAAAATTTTCCTAAACCCTTTAATATACCCTTAGTAAGGGTATATGAAGGGGTTTAGGAAATCAATAAACCCTTGCATAAACCCTAAAAAACGGTTTATGACGGTCACTAAGTACGGATAGGATTCAGCAAATGGTTTATGAAATGCTCATAAACCCATGTTGGGGTATAGCCAAGGGTTTAGGACACATTCATAAACCCATATAAGGGTTTAGGAAACACACACAAACCAATGGAAGGGTTTAGAAAAACTTCATAAACCCTTGCAAGGGGTTTCGAAACAGTGAACAAAAATGGCTCACAATCAAGACAGCTTATGAGGCGTCCTGCGTCAGCGTGTGCCAGTTTCCGCTTGCAGACGAGCAAATGACCTGAAGTCGCGTCTGTTACAAGACTTAGAAACTGTACATGTTCTCTAAAACGAGGAGTCTATTCAAAGTGACTTCGACGAACCAGAACAGAAAAGTTAAGATAGCCAAGTATAGCATGAATAACGCTACACCTGACGATTTCAACTTTTCCGTTCTGCTTCAACGAATTCACTTTGAATACGCTCTTCGTTTTGTAGAACATGTACAGTTTCTAAGTCTTGACACAGACATAACTTCAAGTCATTTGCTCGTCTGCAAACAGAAACTGATACACACTGAAGCAGTACGCCCCAAAATCTGTTGTTTCCGATCCTTTTCCATTTGATGCTGCGACGGACCTAAACATAAAAAGAGAAAAAATTAAATCGATAACGCTTACTGTTTATTTTCCACAACTATGCCATAGAGTTGGACCAAAATTCACATAACACTAGATACCAAATGTTGAATTCGTTGCTTCTCTTGATGGTGGCGTTCATTAAAGATGTTTTCAAAGAAAAAATCCATTTCCTGTTCAAAGTTAATTTCCAATACTGCGAAACAATTTAATAATAATGAAGCTAAAAAAATCCTTCTAAAATTTTCCTCAAACTCACCAGTACCTTTTCCGAACACACAGCGTAACACAAGAAAAATAATTTTGAAAACAAAATTTCCAAATGTCATAATGCTGCATTTCATTGCAACTAAACAAAAAAAACCTAACGTTCAGAAGCAACTTTTCCTTACCTAATAATATTAAATTTGATTCGATGTGAACGAAAGAAAAATCATAATTTTAAAAATGCATTTCTTCTTCACTAAATAATTTTGGATTGTCTCATCCAAACGAAAGAATTCCCTAAACCGATTTTTTCTTATTGCTATTGAGGCTAATTGCATCTAAACAAAAAAACATAAAAATCTGCAAAGCTACTTTTTACTTACTTAAGACACTTTGGATCGTATTTTATATGAAGAAAAAGAATACTTATTAAAATTGATTTTTCTGAGCTACTGATATTAAAGTTAATCGTATCGAAAGAAGACAAAAAAATCTGTAAATCAATTGTTCTAATTCTAATAATATTCAAGTTTGTTGTATCTAAAGAAAGAAAAACAATACTGGGCAAAAATAATTTTTACTTATCTAAAGAAGTTCGCATCGTCTTTTATCTAAAAAAATGTTAGGTTAATTTTTGCTTACCGATTGATATTGAAGTTAATTGAATCCAAAGAAGACAAAATATTTGTAAACCGATTGTTCTTAATCTAGTGAAGTTGAAGTTAGTTGTGCCTAAATAAAGAAAAATAATAATGTGGAAAGAAATTTTTACTTACGTAAAAAAGTTTGAATCGTCTTGTATATAAAGAAGAAAAAAAATATTTGGTTAATTTTTGCTTACGTATTGATATTGAAGTCAACTGTATCTGAATAAGACAAAATATGTGTAAACCAATAGTTCTAATTCTAATAATATTGAAGTTTTTATATCTAAAAAAAGAAAAACAATACTACGGAAAAATAATTTTTACTTACCTAAAGAAGTTCGAATCATCTTTTATCTAAAGAAAAAAAAATGTTAGGTTAGTTTTTCCTTATCAATTAATATTGAAGTTAACTGTATCTAAAGAAGACAAAATATTTGTAAACCGATTGTTCTTAATCTAATGAAGTTGAAGTTAGTTGTGCCTAAATAAAGAAAAATAATAATTTGGAAAGAAATTTTTACTTACGTAAAAAGTTTGAATCGTCTTGTATCTAAAGAAGAAAAAAATATTTGGTTAATTTTTGCTTACGTATTGATATTGAAGGTAACGGTATCTAAAGAAGACAAAATATTTGTAAACTAACTGTTCTTAATCTAATGAAGTTGAGGTTAGTTGTTTCTAAATAAAGAAAAATGATAATGTGCAAAACTAATTTTTACTTACGTAAAAAAGTTTGAATCGTCTTGTATCTAAAGAAAAAAAATATTCAGTTAATTTTTGCTTACCTACTGATATTAAAGTTAATTGTATCTGAAGAAGTGAAATTATTTGTAAATCAATTTTTCGTACTCTAATGATATTTGAAGTTAGTTGTGTCTAAAGGTAGAAAAATAATAATGTGCAAAGCTACCTTTTTCTTACCTATAAATCTGGATTGCATTTTAGCGAAGGTAATGAGAGAATTTTGAAAATTAGTGTTTGTTATCAGTATGGTAGTGAATTTTATCTTGTCTAAAGAAAAAATCATAATAGTGTTGAAAGTATCTTACTATTATTTCTACTCAGGAATTGTCGAAAAATGGTTATGAATGAAAACAATGTAAAGAAGGAACATTTAGTTGCCTTCTGGTTCTGGAGAAGAATGAACGAGAGAAAGGTTTATTCCATTTGCAGAAATAATGTTAGTTTTGTTTGTAATGGCATGAAATTTTTGATCAACTTCACTGTATCGATAGTAAGAGGGCAATACATTTATGAGGTGTTTCGTAGTGATTTATAAGTGACTAAGAGACTCGGTTTGATCAAGAGACGCGAATTTAGGGCGGCATCTATCTGTGCTAATTGTTGAAAGCAAACACATATGATTGAGTTGATTTGATTCATAGAAAAAGTGCATGAAAAGCTTCTATTCGATCCCAACTAGATAGAATGAAGACGTGTTTTTGTTTTTGCAGCTTCAATTATTTAAATTTATTTCGATGATAATCTATATAGGTTCTTGAAATTCCGATAATACAACGAAATGGATTGAATATTATGAATGATGTTGAGAATAGAGAAATTCTAGGGAAAAGTGTGAGTGTTGCTGATGATTTAAAGAAAACTTTTATAAAATGGTATCATCATTGATATAATGGTTCAATAACTTGTTCGTAATTGATTAATATCTGTGAATAGTCACTTATTCGAAATCGTTTTTTTCATGATTTAGAAAAAATATTTTGGACGATCAAGAGCAGAGTTTGATATCTCCTCAAAGTTTAGTTTTTTTATATCTTAAAAAGACATCATACATATACAATATTTCATTCATTTTGTTTGTCTTCATAACATTTGAAGTTTTCTTATAAAAACAGTACTAATAAAAAGGCAAGATAATGCAAAAACAATATTAACTTCTGTTCAGTATATGGATGCACTAGTAACGACGTTTTCGTCTAATTTTCTGACGAGTAACAGCATCTAAATTTGCATCAGCTAAAGAAGTAATACCATTCTGTGAATCATCATCCCTGTCAAACGTTATTGATTTTTTCTTTACAACTGTTTCTGAGAAATTTTAAATTAATATTGAAATAGATATCTCTTTTTACTTCTTACAGCAACAAGCTTTATTAAAACAATCGCATTGACCGTTCTGGTAAATTAACATAGGAGAACATGCTGAGCTTATCACATAATTGTCCATAGCTATTAAAGTCTTGTTTGCTTGTGAAGGCAAATAGGGTGTGGGTGTGGGCGTGGGTGTGAGTGATGTTCAAGTGATGTTCAACACCCATATAGATACCCACCCACACCCTCCGACATCCTCTCCACACTCACACCCACACCCCTCACCCACACCCACACCCTTACTGTAAGTGAATTACCGTTACTATTACCTTCTTTTCATTTCTTTACGTATAAATAAGCTACAGAAATTCACCTTAACTTCCGATCTTCTAACATAACTTCCAATACGTGACAATATTTATGTAAAATTGTTATGAATCTAAGTTAGTTATATTGACTTAAAGAGACTGAAATATTTATTTTATAACTATCATGTGAAAAACAATTTGATTGATACACATTTTGCTTAAGATTTATATCCGTTAATGAATAAAAGTCTTTTTCTAATTTCTGATTTTTACAAATCGAAAAATGTTTCATATAAAACTTTAAAAGTCTCATCTAAAACACTGCCTAAATCAAAACGATATCTCTTGTATCACTCTTTCTGATAAAACAATAATATTGCACCATATTTTTATTCATTTATTTATTTTTCCCTTAATTAAAAATATTAAATAAATTAGAGACAGGATTAAATATTGATTATATTTAAACGGAAGAAAAGTTAA